AGGCACTTGTTACTAGAAGCGATGCACTTGTTCCTAGTAGCTTCTTGCTCCTATGTGTTTGTTTGTCTTTACGAAAGAGTACGTCTATTTTCTATACACCACATGCTACATTCCAAGGTTGGGGCAACAATGATAGACGGAAAAAACACATACCCCAAACAATCATCCCAACTGACAACCAAAATAGCAATCATCAAATAAAAAGTCTAGCTCCTCTTTTCTGCTCTGTGCTTTGCTACCCTGTCCATCTATGTATTCTCCTTCTTAATTGGTTAGGGGAACTGAGTCAGGTGTGAGGTGCTGTCAAGCATTGGATAGGGGCCAGAGTCTAGCGACTAGAATCAATAAAGGAACAGAAAGCCAAAACATAGTTCATCATTGTTCTACCCTTTCTTCTTTTCACTCCATTCTCTATGTTTTAGATTCATCAGCCTTTAAAAACGGTGTGGGTCGGGTCTTGCAGTTTTCTTGCATTCTAGACTGTCCAATCTCTCTAACAGCAAGCTTCTGCCTTACTAGTTTATCTGGCCTCGCACAAAACTCCCTATGATTCAACCAAATCTCATCTCATCTGCTGTCCTTCTGTAAAAGGACTAGGGTGGAACCACTATAGAATACTTTGAGGGCTAGAGCGTAGGAAGATGAAGTATCTGGAAGGGCAAAGACGCTACACTGGGAAATGTAGAACTTCATGGTTGACCTCATATATAGTTCCTGCACCTGGAGCATATCCCCCTGTCGGGCAAACAACAAAAGTATCATACCACAGTTCCCATAGTCCCAACAGTCAAGGGTGTTTAGCATGCGAAAACTAAGCTTTTCGAACCAGTCTCTTGAGGAACACCGCACCTTTGGCACCTCTACCAGTGTACCTCCTCAAGGATGTATTTTCCCACTGGCTGCAAAAACATCAGGAGGTCAACCTCACCTGTCTGTCCACGGAAAGAAAAGGCTCCCAACTCGGAGGTCGACCTCACGCTGGGCTCCGACCCTCCCATCATGGACCCGCCATTTTCCAGGCTCCCCGCCAGGCGGTCAGCCAGTGGAAAGACCGGGGGATGGTCCACTTCCATCAAAATCTGAAAAAAAAAAAAAAACAACAACAACAACAACAACTCTTATCCACTTTTGCCCCATCAAACCAAGCACGCTGAAAAAGAAAGAAAAAACGTGCTCATGAAGTCCTGGAATTTGGAAAGCCAAATGATGCATCCCATGCATCCCATGCACCTTTTGCAACACTTCGAAACATATTAACCTTTGATTGAAACACTTCGAGGAACTCGCTTCAGACCGAGCCGGCCCCGAAACGGTCGTCCGTCGAGCACGAAGCTCAGGCACTGCAAGCACCAAGAAGAGCCCTCCCGTCACATCCAGCAGCGCCAGTCGAGCTAGGCCCACCAAGCCCAAGGATCCAAAGACAAAGATCAGCCACGGCCTGGATCCGCGCGGCGAAATCCTTCAGGCGAAATCGATTCTGTGGAGATCAAACTGGAGGAGATGTGGAGAAGGAGCATGATAACAAAATTGTCATGATAACAGCGGCAACAACCAAACAAAAAAACAACAACCAGAGCAGCAACAACCCCAACCCCAACCCCAACACACCACAATCACAACCACAATCACAACGTCATCAACGTCAACATCAACATCAACGTCAACATCAACATCAACGACGACAATAAAACTTGTTTTGGGTCTCACAGCTTCTACCTACCTTCTGCCAGGCTGTTCTTCAGAGTGGGGCATTTGGTTGGCACCAGAGTTGGGCACCGGCACTCTCTGTGAATGTGCTTTCTCAATGATCAGTTCTGATTCTGGCTGCCAGCGACAGGTCTTTCACACTGGCGATCAGTTTGGGGGGGCAACCGATGGGTCGTCGCAACACAGATCCGGTGGATGTTGCTTCGAGCCCTTCGTATCCACATCAGCATTGTAAAGGTAAGACTAACACACATCTGGAAGGCCTCGGAAATTCAACCCCATCAATCTGCCGGCGAAGATGCCTCAAGAAGGCTACGCCTTGCCTTCAAGACCCAGATTCTGAGATCTAAGGACCTTGGCAAATCCTTCCATCGTCAAATCTTTACATTGCGGAATACGCCCGGGCATTGCTTTGTCCACCCATCTTGTTCCTTTTCTTTACTCATTGTTGGAGGGCTCCTTTTGGTCAAATGCCTCAGGATTCGTTGGACGTTTGAAGCTGTTTCAAGTCGCTCCGCTACTGGCGTTCAGGGATCTCTTTTCTTTTTGGACCTGGAAAACAGAGCTTCCTTTTGGCCAAAAAGGGTTCCTTTGTATGACCAGTTTTGGTTGACCCTCTTGACCTCTTGACCGGTCTAGGACCCTAGGACCCTACAGTATAGGACCCTTCCTTTCGGTCTTGGCCTTCACAGTTCGACCTTTGACTCCAACGGCTTCCACGTTCCAAACGGCTGACCGCTCCCGCTCTGACCGACCCCATGGGCGCAGCTCGTCTGAGGGTTCACCGCTCTGACCGTGTTTGGACCTACTTCGAGAGCTCCGGTCCTTTCGGCCCCTTTTCGGCCCCTTTCGGGCCCCGTGTGGGTGTGGTGTGGCCGCACTGAGCGCGCTTTTCGCTCGCTCCTTTCGCTCCCTTTCGCTGGAAGTCAGAGTCACCGCAACGAAGCAGGCACCCAGTCGTGCACCGGAAGTCGAGCGCTCGACTTGGTGGGAGCCATTCGGTGCTCCAGGAGCAGTGGAACTAGCACTCGGGAGCAGCAGTTCTCTCCCACTCCGCAATCACAGTGCATGGAGGTTCCTCTCATCCCATACGGGGTATAGGCCATCGCTAGTAGCAAGCTTTGCACACCTTTTCCCGGAAAACGTGCGAAATGAAGTCCCGCTGTTCCACATTTGCCCCACAGTGTGAGATAAACAATGTTCCTCCCAATGTTGACTGTTGATTAACAAAATCCCCCTCTTTCTACTTTGAGCACATCTTTCTGAAAAGGGGACGGGAACGGCCCACAATGCAAGGCATTGGTGGCCTTCCCGAGAAACACCCCCTTGCATCCCGTTAACCATGGGTTTTTCGGTCCCAAGAAAACCAAGGCCAGTCATGGCTACAGGCTTGCGGCTTAAATTGGCAGGTCGCTCGATCAAAAACCACCCGACCCAAAAACCGACAGCCCTGACGGCTGCTATTGGTGCCTCATCCGCAGGGCAAATGGTGTGGGTGGGCCATTTAAGCCATCCAGGCTACCAGCAATGAAGGCCATGAGCCCTCAGCCACCCGCGAAGGCAGTGGACATTTGGGGGGTTCGGGCGCTTTTTGGGGCGTTTGGCAGGTCATCTGGCATCTGCCAATGAGAAGTTGCAAGGGTCCCCAGGGTCAACGAGTTCTCGGAATGGTTCGATTTGTCCCAACCCGTTGGGTCCGCGAAGGGCCCTTCGGTGGCCTCGGGTCATGGGTTCCTTAGGTTCCTTTGGCACACTCCCGAGTCAACTCAAATAGACCCTGACGTCCTGGGTCGGAAGAGTGTTTTCAGGGTCCATGGGATCGTCTTCCAGAGGATGGTTGCAGGGCATGGCTAAGATGGTTTGGTATCGTTCATCCCTCTCCCCCAAAAAAGAGCCGGGCCATGATGGTCACCGTTCTGAACGGTCGCTCCGTTAGCGGAGAACAAAGTCCCTTTGGTGTTCGGCGGGGCTGAGAGGAGACGACCTGCACCGAAGACCAACCCGGGTCACCGATGTACCTGTCAACCTGCAACCTGTCAACCTGTCGACCACTGACCCGCTTCCAAAAAAAAAACTGCGACACGCGACACCCAAATGCGTTACAGGATCCGCGGGATCCGGCGGGGGATCCGCTAATTGAGGTTCGTTGATGGGAAGGGTGGCCGCGCGAACAGACGGCCGGCCGAGGGGGGGCGATTCCCCACCGGCCTTGAGCGAAAAACACACGGATAGAGCGGCAGCCGACGTGTGCACACGAGCAAGTGGATCCTGCTGGGGATTCACATCCTGCTTGGATCCGTCGTCGTCCCCCCAAAAGGAAACACCCCGACATATTCCATGAAGCAGGTGCAAGAATCAACGAATCAGAGATGCATCTCCCGACCCTCGTCGAGAGAAGACGAGTACATCCGCTCTTCCCCATATCGAAACTTCCGTTTGCTCCTCTGGCTGGAAGCCATGCAGCGTCTCCTGGACACGGGCCCAGCATGTCGCTGGTGAAGCGGCTATTTCCCAGGAATTGGGAGTCGCCCAAGGAAGCGCTGTGTATGTTTGTCCGAAGGTTATGAATAGCGATACTCAACAACTGCAACGCCGTGTGTGAACGCACACTTTCAGCTGA